AGCCCATAAGTTTGAGGTCATGCTGGGCACATAGACTCCATTTGTAAATAACTAAATACATAGGTAGGTAGGTAGATAGATAAATAAATGGAAATAAGCAAGACAATTGATTTACCAAGTGAGAATTGCTGTATATAATATCAAATGTAACCTTGTAAAGTCAAAATAATTAAACAGTGAGATGATGAGAATGAATTTTGAGTGATTTTAATTTTTTAATATTTATATATGTATATGTATTTAGCTCTGAAGATGAAGTGGATGTGCTTTTACATGGAACTCCAGACCAAAAACGAAAACTCATCAGAGAATGTCTTACTGGAGAAAGTGAGTCATCTAGTGAAGATGAATTTGAAAAAGAAATGGAAGCTGAATTGAATTCTACCATAAAAACAATGGAGGACAAATTATCTTCTCTAGGAACAGGTACGCTTTATTTATTTATTTATTTATTTATTTATTTATTTATTTATGTATTTACATGCAGTGCTGAGAATCAAACCCAGGGCCTGGCACGTGCTAGCAGCTCTACTGCTGAGCCACAACCCCAGCCCTGGAACAGATACGCTTTTGATTCGGTTTTTATACCTATTTTTATAAGCTCCATAGGCTAGGAAGCTTACTCATGCTCTGTGTTTCCAGAACTTTCTATAGGTGCACACACAGTAAATACTAATTGGGTGAAGGAATTATGTTTGGCAACTGAACCAGAGTTTTCTTTGATGACTATGGGAAAATGTCATGCGTTGTTGAAAAGACATTATTTAGCATTATTTATTTGGATAATGTCCTTTTGTAGTTTTTACTCAAGGATTAAAAAAAAGACACATGAGTCTTATAGGTATTTTGAACATTAGATGTCACTGATGGCAGATTTAATGATGTATCATCATAAATTCCTATTTTAGTAAGTAATAAAACATTTTATATTTTAAATTTGGTCTTTTTGTTAAATGTACCTGACCCAAAATCTAATTTGTGAAAGTAGGACTCTTCAGCACTGGTTTTCATGTTACTATATTGGTATTTTATGTATTAACTGGTAAGAACTGAAAGCATATAATAATAACCACAACAACAACTAAAGCAAGTGTTAATTAGAGGAAGAATGAGGGAGACAGGCATGTGATGATATAAGTATAGGTAATAGTATGGAACTGAGTACAGTTGAAGAGAGGAAAAGTGTGTCTTCGTCATTCCCTTGCCTTTCCTTAGAGCTTTTCTTTCCATTAAGCTCCCTTAAAACAAGATACTCATTCCCTGTTCTTCACAGTGCACTCCCTGTCTGAAAGATAGAGATTTGTATATGGGCAACCTGAAAAGGTGGCCTTTAAAAAAAAAAAAAAAAATTAACTTTTTTTTTTTTTTTAGTTATTGATAGACCTTTATTTAATTTATTTATTTATACGTGGGGCTGGGAATTGAACCCAGTGCCCACACATGCCAGGCAAGTGTGCTACTGCTGAACCCCAGCCCCTTAAAAAATTAATTAGATTTTTGGGAAGGAAAAAAGATTTAGAATACTAAAATTAAGGTGGGGGGGCAGTTTTCTGTAATTGCATAGAGCATAAAATAAAGTATGTCACTATGTGAAAATATTTAACCATCCAAATGAGATTGTGAATAAGCTGATATTACTTTGTAGTAATGAAAGAAGACATGGAGGTTTTTTCTTATGAATTATGTATGATTAGTCTATAAACTTAATTTCTGGTTTTCATAGGGTCTTCTTCAGGAAATAATAAAGTTGGAATAGCTCCGGCGAAGTATTACGATGATATATATTTTGATTCAGATTCTGAGGATGAAGACAAATCAGGTAAATAACATATCTATCAGCCTTAGCAGTAATATTTTATGAAAAAGGTTTACCAACTAGTTGATATTAGGATTTTTCTTTGAGTTTTATTTTTTAAGAAATTTTAGGTGGTTGATGTGAAAATAAAAAGAGGATTGATTAGTAATAAAACCTGGGAACAAAGACTTATGAGTACATGGCATTATCAGTAGCACTGCATGGGTATGCTAGGGAAGGGGAGAATGTGTCCTGACTCAGTACTTCCCCTGCTCAGGGCTCAGGGCTCAGGGATCTTTCCCCAGACTCCTTCTAGGTCCTTCAGACTAACAACATTTGTTTTCTTTATACCTTTTTTTTTTTTTGGTATTGAGGATTGAACCCAGGGGTACTTAACCACTGAGCCACATCCCCAGCCCTTTCTTTGTGTGTGTTTTATTTAGAGACAGGGTCTCACTGAGTTGCTTAATGCCTTGCTTTTACTGAGGCTGGCTTTGAACTTGAGATCCTCCTGCCTTAGCCTCCAGAGCTTCTGGGATTACAGGCATGTGCCACTTGCCTGGCTCAACACTTGTTTTCACACCTGCATTTTTTCTGAATTTTTACTTTCCTGAAGAATTTTCCTAATTTGGAAAAATTAATTATATTTAGTTGGGAAAGCTAATTACATAAGGAGTTACACTGGAATATACAAAATAACAAATTTATATTTAAAAGGACGTTTTATACTTTTATGTCATTACTTAAAATATTGGTGTGCTAGAATAAATTTAAAAAGTAATGTATGTGCTAGATATGGTGTCACATGCCTATAATTTCATCACTTGGGAGACTGTGGCAGAAGGATCACAAGGTCCAGTCTAGCTTGGGCAACCTAGAGACCCCATCTCAAAATAAAATAAATTAAAAAAGGGCTGGGAATGTAGCTCAGTTTTAGAACACACCTGGGTTCAATCCCTAGTACTACAAAACAGAACAAACAGAAGTCTAATATACGTAGATAGCTGTGGGTTTTTTCTTTCTTTCTTTCTTTCTTTTTAAAATATTTTAATATTTATTTTTCAGTTTTTGGCGGACACAACATCTTTGTTTGTATGTGGTGCTGAGGATCGAACCCGGGCCGCACGCATGCCAGCGGAGCATGCTACCGCTTGAGCCACATCCCCAGCCCCAATCTTTCTTTCTTTTTTTAAAAATATTTATTTTTTAGTTGTAGTTGGACACAATACCTTTATTTTATTTATTTTTATGTGGTGCTGAGGATGGAACCCATGTCCTTTGCACGTGCTAAGCGAGCATTCTACCACTGAGCCACAACTCCAGCCCTTTTTTCTTTCTTTTTTAATTGTTTTGCAGTTCTGGGGATTGAACCCAGGACTGCTTTACCACTGAGCCACATCCCCAGTCATTTTTATTTTTTAGTTTGAGACAGAGTCTAATTTAAGTTTCCTAGACTGGCCTTGAATTTGTGATCCTCCTGCCTTAGCTCCAGAGCAGCTGGGATTACAGGCATGTGCTACTATGCCTAGCTTCTTTCTTTCTTCTTTTCCTTTTCTTTTTCCTTCCTTGTTCTGGGGATCAAATCCAGGGCCCTGAGCATACTAGGCAAGCATTCTACTATTGAGCTATGCTCCCAGCCCTGTATTCCAATTATTTTTTTCTGATATTAGGGATTTAATACAGGTTGCTCTACTGATGCACTATATCCCTAGGCCTTTTTACTTTTTATTTTGAGACAGGGTCTCACTAAGTTGCCCAGGCTGGCCTTGATAACTTGGTGAGATACTGTCTAAAAAAAACAAAAAACAAGAAGGGCTGAGCATGTAGCTCAGTGGTAGAGCCCACCTGGGTTCAATCCTCAGTTACCCTCCCCACAGAAAAAAGAGAAAAAAATTTTTTTTCTTTTTTTTTTTTTTTTTTTTAGAGAGAGAGAGAGAGAGAATTTTAACATTTATTTTTTAGTTTTCGGCGGACACAACATCCTTGTTTGTATGTGGTGCTGGGGATGGAACCCTGGCAGCACGCATGCCAGGCGAGCGCGCTACCGCTTGAGCCACATCCCCAGCCCAATTTTTTTCTTTTTAAGGATAATTAAAATAAATACGTAGCTTGATATACGTAGCTTGATAAACAGGAGATTCTTTATTTTATGTTAAAGAAATGTGAACTTTACCAACGATACTTAGCTATATCCTTAACTTTTAAAAACATTAGCACAGGTGACCAAGAAGAAAAAGAAGAAACGACACAGGATTCCAACAAATGATGAATTACTATATGATCCTGAAAAAGATAACAGAGACCAGGCCTGGGTTGATGCACAGAGAAGGGGGTAAGAATTTAAATTTAATATTTAGACTCTTTAGGAAAAAATGGTTGAAAAATGATTTTTACCACATTTGTATTTTATACATGTTTATGTTTATATACACATATCAACAAAGAGGTTTGAAGAAAAAAACCTGCAAATTTATTTTGAAAATAACCAGCAAATTTTATTAAACAATTCATTTTTAAAAACTACTGTTGAGTTCAACCTGCTGTAGTCAGTCTCTCCCTTCAAGAAACAAAACTGATTTTTTTCAGATAGACACAATTTTTTCTTGGTACCAGGGATTGAAATCAGGGGGTACTAGACCACTGAGCCACATTCTCAGCCCTATTTTTTATTTTATTTAGAGACAGGGTCTCACTGACTTGCTTAGTGCCTCAGAGTTACTGAGGCTGGCCTTGAACTCTAAATTCTCCTGTCTCAGCCGCCCAAGCTGCTGGGGTTACAGGTGTGCACCACCACAATCCACAGATAGACACAATTTTAAATTACATTGAGATTAAGAGTTTATGTGGGGCTGGGGTTGTGGCTCAGTGGTAGAGCACTCACCTAGCGTGTACGAGACCCTGGGTTCGATCCTCAGCACCACATAAAAAAATAAATGAAAAATTAAAGGTATTGACAACTACAACTAAAAAAAAAAAAAGTTTATGTGGATGAAGAGAGGATATTGTTTAGCACCTGATTTGTTCCATTCACAAATTAGGTTTTTTAAAATTCACATAACCTGAAATTGACTGTTTTGTTTATTTATTTATATATTTTTTGTTGGTGCATTATGATTATACATAATAGTGGGATTCCTTATGCCATATTTGTACATGTATTAACATAATTTGATCAGTCTCATTCCCTAGTACTTTCTCTTTTCTCTCTTCCCTTTTTCTGATTTGCTTGCTCTACTCTATTGATCTCCCTTCTATGATTACTATTATTATTTTAATTATTGAATTATTATTGTATGTGGGATTTTTTGTGGTATATTCTTACATGGATATAGCATTTTTTTTCATTACTTGGGATTGAACCCAGGGGTGTATTGAGTTACATCCCCAGCCCTTTTTATTTTTTTGAGATAGGCTCTCATTAAGTTGCTGAGGCTGGCCTCAAAACTTGGAAGCCTCCTGCCTCAGCTTCCCAAATAATAGGGATTACAGGCATGCACCACTGTACCTGGCAAAAGTATCCATTTTAAAGTGAACAATCTAGTGATGTTTATTATATTCACAGTGGTGTGTATCACTACCTCTGTCTAGTTTCAAACCATTTTTATAATTTTTATCATCTCAAAAGGAAAATCCTGTATCATTAAATAGTTTTTCTCTCTCTTCCCATATCCCCTGGGAATATGGGAACACATATTGTGTTCCAGATCTGTGTTCTATCTCAGTGGATTTACCATTTTTGATAGTTCAGCTAATGGAATATTCTACAATATGTGACTTTTTGTATTTGTGGATGAAGAGAAGATATTGTTTAGCACCTGATTTGTTCCATTCACAAATTAGATTTTTTAAAATTCACATAACCAAGGGCTGGGGATGTGGCTCAAGCAGTAGCGCACTCGCCTGGCATGCATTCGGCCTGGGTTTGATCCTCAGCGCCACATACAAACAAAGATGTTGTGTCCACCGAAAACTAAAAAAAAAAACACAAATATTAAAAAAAAAAATTCTCTCTCTCTCTCTCTCTTTAAAAAAAAAAAAATTCACATAACCTGAAATTGATGGATCATCTTTTTGAGGTTCATCTACATTGTAGCCTATATTACTACTTCTTTCCTTTTTATAGCTGAATAATATTTCCTTGTATGTATATACATAGATCAGTTTGTTTATCCATTCATTCATTGAGGAACATTTGTGTTGTTTCTCCTTCTGACTATTGGGAATAGTGTTGCTGTGAATATTGGTGTACAGTTATCTATTACGTCTATACTTTCATTTCTTTTGGTTACATGCCCAGGAATGGAACTGTTACATCATATGGTAATTCTATATTTAACTTTTGTATGGTACTAGGGATCAAACCCAGGACCTCACATGTGCTAGGCAAGTACCCTACCACTGAGCTGTACCCCAAGCCTTGTATTTAATCTTTTTTTTGGGGGGTGGGGGGTAGTACTGGGGATTGAATTCAGGGACATTTGACCACTGAGCACATCCCCAGCTCTATTTTATATTTTTTTAGAGACAGGGTCTCACTGAGTTGCTTAGTACCTTGCTTTTTGCCAAGGATGGCTTTGAATTTGTGATCTTCCTGTCTCAGCCTCCCAGGCTGCTGTAATTACAGGCATGTGCCACCGTGCCTGGCTGAATTTAACTTTTTGAGGGACCACCACTATTTTCTACAATGACTGAAGCATTTTGCATTTCCACTAGTAGTATACAGTGTTTTACAAATTTTATTTTGATGTAAAGGCTGAGTTGTCATAGAACTAAAAGGTAGGCAACTTACCATCATTATCTAGTGCTTTGCTAACCTGTTATGTTTCAGAATCACCAGGAGAGATTGAAATGCAGACCTTTGAATCTTATTTGAGGTGGTTTTTTTTATGTAATGCTGAGGATGTGCCTCTCACATGTTAGGCATGTGTTCTACTCCTGAGCTACATGATTAACACCTAGGAGGATTTGTTTCATCTCTGGTAGGGTCCAGATATCTATATTTTTTAAGTTTGGAGAGATTACTATTGGTGGGGGATCTTTGTATACCATCTTTAACTTTTGCTCTCGAGCCTTGTTCAGTTTTTCTCTTCTTGTTCCATTTATACATCACTTTTTCCTTTGCCCCCTGTGTTTATTTAATGAATATTTTTTGATTACTCATAGCCATGGGCTGAACATTTTAAATGCTATAAGTAATATATTTTAAAATAACTTTTAAAACTTTTTTGTAGTTGTAGATGGACAGAATGCCTTTATTTTGTTTATTTTTATGTAGTACTAAGGATTGGACCCAGTGCCTCACATGTGCTAGGCAAATGCTCTGACACTGTACTTTAGCTCCAGCCCTTAAGTGCTGTAAATAATATTGAGATGGTCAAGGAACTTACAGTGTAGTTCTTTAGTCTGGTAACAAAATTTGTCAATGATGTAAGATGGAATTTTGTTTTTTTTTTGGTAGTATAGAGATTGAACCCAGGGGTGCTCTACCACTGTGCTACATCCGCAGCCCTTTTTAAATTTTATTTTGAGACAGGACTCATTGAATTGCCCAGGTTGGCCTTAAACTTTCGATTCTCCTGCCTTAGCCCCTCCATTAGCTTGGTTTATGGGTGTGGGCTGCTACACCTGGCTTAATGGTTCCTTTAATTGGAGACTTGCATTAGAAGCAAGACTTTAATGTGTTTTTTCTTAATTTCTTTTTGCATTCCAGTTATCATGGTTTTGGGTTACAGAGGCCACGTCATCAACAGCCTGTTCCAAATAGTGATGCTGTTTTGAATTGCCCAGCTTGCATGACGACACTGTGCCTTGATTGCCAAAGGTAATGGATGAATGGTTAAGCACACATACAGGGAAAAAAAAAAATTGGTAGTCCTTTGTTCAAATCACAAATAGACTTTTGATACTCAGGAATTCTGTTATGGTTTTGTACCCATATCCTTTGTGTTACGTGACTAATCTCTTTACAGATAATTTTGACTATGCATAGTTGTGTAAAAAGTAGCTTTTTAAAATTAATTAATTAATTAATTGTTTTTTTTTTTCTTTTTTTGTGACACTGGGAAATAAACCCAGGGCCTATACATGTTAGGCAAGTACTCCACCCTTGTGCAACATGTATAGCCCAGAGTAGCTTTTTATTGGTTTTTTTTTTTTTTTGGTACTGGGGATTGAACTCGACCACTGAGTCACATCCCCAGCCCTATTTCATATTTTATTTGGAGCTAGGGTCTCACTGAGTTGCTAAGCTCCTTGTTTCTGTTTTTGTTTTTGTTTTGGTACTAAGGGTTATTTGACCACTGAGCCATATCCCCAGCCCTATTTTGTATTTTATTTAGAGACAGGGTCTCGCTAAATTGCTTAGCACCTTGCTTTTGTTGAGGCTGGCTTTGAACTTGTGATCCTCCTGTCTCAGCCTCCTGAGCCGCTGGGATACACCACCACACCCAGCTAGAAGTAGCCTTTTAAATAAAGCATTTCTCAGTAATAATAGGATTCAGTGAAATTGCATAGATGTTGTAGAATGACATAATCTTTTAAAGGAAAAAATCATTTCTCTACTCACAAATGTGGGATTTTTCCCCCGTCACACAAAGCATTTCTCCAATTTTCTGTATGCTGTGTTCCTACAATTTAATTTAATTCTGACTCACTACCTGGAGTTAGCATCAACCCCACAAGTTAAGTTCATTCTCACAAGACTAGAGACTTTTTTAGATGCCAGTAATCAAGTAGTAGGTCCTCAAGTTACCTCCATTTCTATTCAAGTTGAATATAAATTAGGGGTTCCTTTATTATAAAGAATACAAACAAAACAGCTAGATGTAGAGGCATATAGGGGTGAGGTCCAGAAGGGTCTTGACTGCAGGAGGTCTGTGGGGTTTGGGATGTACTACCCTCCTAGGACATGGATGTGTTCACCAGGCTGAAAGATTTTGGAACCCTTTACTTTTATGGGTTGAATTGCATAGGTATGTTCCATTATATAGACACCATTGGCAAAATCATTGGCCATTAGTGATTAATTCAATCTCTAGCTCTTTTCCCTTCCCTGGAGGTAGGATTGGGTGGGTATGGAGCTAAAAGTTCCAACCCTTCTCCAATCAATCATGCTTGGTTTTTCTGGTTTTTTTTAGATGCAAGACAAGCCTCCATATCTCATTAGCATATAAAATATACTGTTATTATTCCACAGATTCTAACAATCTTGGAAGCTCTTATGTCAGAGACAGACCCAAGATCAAAAGTTATAGTAATAAGAAAAGGTGCCGTTATCACTCAGGAAATTGCAAGTGTTTTAGGAGCTCTGTGATAGGAACTGGAAGCAGAGCACAAATATATATTTATTATTATGTCACATCTCTAAAATACACTTTTTTATTGTGGCAAACTATATATAAAATTTACAATTTTAACTATTTTTAAGAATACAATTCAGTGGCATTAATGCTATCAGAGTCTGATGAAGCCAACACCGCCATCCATTTCCAGAACTTTTGATCATCCCAGGAACTCTGCACCCATTACATAATAACTCCCTATTCTCCAGTCCCATCAGCCCCTGGTAACCTCTGTTCTACTTTGTTTCTCAGACTATTCACTATTAATGTATAGAAAATTATTATTTTTTTTAAACTTTTTTTTTTTTTTAGTTGTAGGTGGACACAATATCTTTATTTATTTTTATGTGGTGCTGAGGATTGAACCCAGTGCCTCACACGTGCAAGGCAGGTGCTCTATCACTGAACTACAGCCCCAGCCCCTAGAAAATTATTTTTATGTGTGACATTTTCTGAAGCTTTGCTTAATTTTTATTAGCTCTAACAGGTTTTTGTGTGTGTGAGAGTGTATGTGTGTGTATGTGAGATGTGTAAGCTTTAGGGTTTTCTTTATTTTTTAGTTGTAGTTGGACACAATACCTTGATTTTATTTATTTGTTTTTATGTGGTGCTGAGGATTGAACCCAGGGCCTTGCTGGTACTAGACGAGCGCTCCACCACTGAACCACAACCCCAGCCCCAGCTTTAGGGTTTTCTACATAAAAGTTCACGCTGTCCTTGAGCAGAGATAATTGAGGTAATTTACTTTTACCTCTTCCTTTCCAATTTAGATGATTTCTTTTTTCTTTTGGTACTGGGTACCAGGGGTGCTTTGCTAGTAAACTGTATCCCATTCCCTTTGTATTTTTTACTTGGAGACAGGGCCTTACTAAGTTGCTTAGGTCCTTGCTTAGTTATTGAGGCTGGCCTCGAACTTGTGATTCCACTGCCTCAGCCTCCAGAGTAGCTGAGATTACAGGTATGCACCACCACACCCTGCTTTTCTAGTTTGTTTATTTATTTATTTATATTTTTATTTATTATTTTTGATATTAAACTCGGGGACAGTCAACCACTGAGCCACATCCCTACCCCTATTTTGTATTTTATTTAGAAATAGGGTCTCACTGAGTTTGTTAGGGCCTCCTTAAATTGCCGAGACTGGCTTTGAACTCGCGATCCTCCTGTCTCAGCCTTCCAGCCACTGGGATTACAGGCATGAGCCACTTCGCCTGGCTGGTCTAGTTTATTTTTATTAGCTAGTTTAAGGTTTCTGATTCTCTGCAACAGTTAATTTTTTTTAAGTATTATAATTTGATTTTTAAAAATTTATTCTAATTAGTTATACATGACAGTAGAATGCACTTTGATACATCTACATAGATGGAGTATAATTTCTCATTCTTCTGGTTGTACATGATATAGAATCTCACTGGTTATATAGTTATATTTTTATGTAAGGTAATAATGTCTGATTCATTCTACTATCCTTCTTTCCCTCTCAACCCCCTCTTCACTCCCCTCTACCTAATCTAAATTAACTCTATTTTTCCCTAGCACTGCCTCCCCATCCCGCAACCTATTGTGAATTAGCATACACCTATCAGATAAAACATTCAGCCTTTGGTTTTTGGGGATCGGCTTATTTCACTTAGCAAGATATTCTCCAGCTCCATTCATTTATCAGCAGATGCCTTAATTCCATTCTTCTTTAAGGCTGAATAATATTCTATTGTGTATATATACTACATTTTCTTTATCCATTCATTGGTTGAAGGACACCTAGGTTGGTTCCATAGTTTAGCTATTGTGAATTGAGCTGCTATAAACATTAATATGGCAGTGTCACTGTAGAATGCTTATTTTAAGTTTTTTTGGTATAAACTGAGGAGTGGATAGCTGGGTCTAAGTTTTTTCTGAGGTGTCTCCATACTGTTTTCCATAGTGCTTGCACCAATTTGCAGTCCCATCGGCAATGTATGAGTGTACCTTTCCCCCCACATCCTCACTAACACTTATTATTGCTTGTACTCTTTTTTTTTTTTTTTTTGTGGGGGGTGGTACTGGGGATTGAACTCAGGTGCTTGACCACTGAGCCATATCGCCAGCCCTATTTTGTATTTTAGAGACAGGGTCTCACTGAGTTGCTTGGGGCTTCCATAAGTTACTGAGGCTGGTTTTAAACTCAAAATCCTCCTGCCTCAGCCTCCCAAGGCACTAGGATTTCAGGCATGTGCTGCCGCACCTGGCTTATTGCTTGTATTCTTGATAATTGCCATTCTAACTAGAGTGAGATAAAATCTTGGAGTAGTTTTTTTTTTTTAATATTTACTTTTTAGTTTTCGGTGAACACACCATCTTTGTTTGTATGTGGTGCTGAGGACCGAACCCGGGCTGCACGCATGCCAGGCGAGCACGCTACCGCTTGAGCCACATCCCCAGCCCCTCTTGGAGTAGTTTTGATTTGCATTTTTCCAATTGCTAAAGATGTTGAACATTTTTGCACATATTTGTTGATAGATTGTGTTTCTTCTGTAAATGTCTGTTCAGTTCCTTAGCCCATTTATTGATTGGGTTATTTGGTTTTTTTGGTGGTGTTTTTTGAGTTCTTTATATATTCTGGAGATTAATGCTCTGAGGTACATGTGGTAAATATTTTCTCCCATTCTGTAGAAACTCTCTTCATGTTATTGATTGTTTCCTTTGCTGAGAAGAAGCTTTTAGTTTGAATCCATCCCATTTATTGACTGTTGATTTTACTTCTTGTGCTTTAGGAGTTTTGTTAAGGAAGTCAGATCCTAGGCTGACATGATGACAATTTGGGCCTACTTTTTGTTCTATTAGGCACTAGGTCTTTGTTCTAGTGCCTAGGTCTGTGATCCACTTTGAGTTGAAGTTTGGGCAGGGTGAGAGGGGTTTAATTTCATTTTGTTACATGTGGCTTTCCAATTTTCCCAGGACCATTTGTTGAATAGGCTATCTTTTCACCAGTGAATGTTTTGGGCACTTTTGTCTAGTATGATAAGTGTATTTATGTGGGTTTGTTTCTGTGTCTTCTATTTTGTACCATTGGTCTATGTGTCTTGTCTTGGTGCCAATAACATGCTGTTTTTGTTACTGTTGCTTTGTAGTATAGTTTAAGGTCTGGTATTGTGATGCTACCTGCTTCACTCTTCTTGCTAAGGATTGCTTTGGCTATTCTGGGTCTCATTTTTCCAAATGAATTTCATGTTTGCCTTTTCTAGTTCTATGAAGAATGTCATTGGGATTTTAATAGGAATTGTATTAAATCTGTATAATGCTTTTGGTAGTATGGCCATTTTTACTATATTCTTCTTGTCTAGGAGCATGGAAAGGGAGTCTTTCCATCTTCTAAGGTCTTCTTCAATTTCTTTCTTTAGTGTTCTGTAGTTTTTTTTTTTAATATACTTTTTAGATATTGATGAACCTTTATTTTATTAATTTATTTATATGTGTGAACCCAGTGCTTCACACACAAAAGGCAAGTGCTCTACCTCTGAGCCACAATCCCAGCCCCATGTAGTTTTAATTGTAGAGGTCTTTCACCTCTTTTGTTTGATTGATTCCCAAGGTTTTTTTTTTTTTTTTTTTTTTTTTTTTTTTTGAGGTTATTGTGAATGAGGTCATTTTCCTACTTTCTCTTTCAGTAGATTCATCACTGATACATAGGAATGCATTTGATTTATGGGTATTGATTTTATATCCTGCTACTTTGCTGAATTCATTTATTAGTTCTAGAAGTTTTCTGGTGGAATTTTTTTGTATCTTTTAACTACAGAATCATGTCATCAGCATATAGTGACAGTTTGAGTTCTTCTTTCCCTATTCATATCCTTTAATTTCTTTTTTCGTGTCTAATTGCTGTGGCTAGAGTTTTAAGGACAATGTTGAATAGAAGTGGTGAAAGAACACATCTTTGTGTTATTCCAGTTTTTAGAGGGAATGCTTTTAGTTTTTCTTCATTTAGAATTATGTTGGCCTTGGGTTAAACACATATAGCTTTTATGGTGTTGAGGTATCTTCCTACTATCCCTAGTTTTTCTAGTGTTTTGAATATGAAGGGGTCTTGTATTTTGTTAAATGCTTTTTCTGTTAGATGATCATATGATTCTTGTTTTTAAGTCTGTTGATGTGATTAATTAAATTTATTGATTTCCATATGTTGAACCAACCTTGCATCCCTAGATACAGTTTTTATACTCTATTTATGAACTCAAACTTTTTAGCATGTAAGTTAACACCTAGATTATAAAATGAAGAAAATATCTTTGTATGTAACCAATTCAGCCATATACTTAAGTTACTTTATGATCTCATAGTAGAAATTGGTCTTGGTAAAGTTGTTATTCCATATTAATGTAGGGTTCTGATACAATGGAGTAGATGGGGGAGGCTGGGCAGGACTGCAAATTTGAAGCCAGCCTGTGCAACTCAGTGAGAACCTGTCTCAAAATAAAATTTAAAACGGGCTGGAGATATAGTAAGTGGTGGAGTGCCCCTGGGTTCAATTGCTAGTACCACAAAAACAAAGAAAGCAGAACAAGGGGCTGGAGCTGTGGCTCAGCGGTAGCACACTTGCCTAGCATGTGCGAGGCACTGGGTTAGATTCTCAGCACCACATATAAATAGAAAAATAAAGGTCTATCAACAACTAACTAACTAAATAAGCAAAACAGACCAAACAAATAAACAAACAAAAACAACAACAACAAAAACCAACTAGAGCTGGGCATGGTGGTATACACCTGTAATCTCAATGATTTGTGAGGCTGAGGCAGCCTCGGCAATTAGTGAGGCCCTAAGCAACTTAGCAAGACCCTGTCTCAAAATAAAAAATAAAGTTATTAGGATATATAGCTCAATATAAGCACCCCTGGCTTCAATCCCTGGTAACAAAAAACAAAACCAACAAACACAAACAAACAAACAAACAAAAACCCCAACAACCAATCTAGTAGAGTAAAAGGGATTTTTTTGTTGTTATTGTTCCCCCCCCCCCAAAAAAGTGATAGTTTTTTTTTTTTTCTCTTTCTTTGTTTCTCTCTCTCTTGAAACCAGTGCCTAACACATTAGGCAAGTGCTCTACCATGAAGCTTTTTTTATTAGATGGATACTTCTCAGAGTCCTCATGTAACTTAAACTTCAAATAATACAAGACAAAGGGCTGAGAGTTTCTGGTTTTAGCTAAAGTGTGGCTACTTAGAGCCTGAGTGTGAGGGTGTGTATTATATAATTTGTAGATAGATAGAGTCAAGAACACCTGGATGTGGTAGTGTGTGTCTGTGGTCTCAATTTTTTGCTTGAGCCCATGAGTTCAAGGCCAGCTTGGGCCACATAGTGAGATCCTGTTTTGTTTTGTTTTTTTTTTTTTTAAAAACAACAGCAATAACAAAAAAACCATATACACACAAAAACAACAAAACAAGAACTCAGTTCAGAGAAATTATTCTGATATGCAAGAAATCTAGAGAAAGGGAAAAACACTGTGAGCACGTGATACGAAATTCTTATAGATATGAGACAGAACAGTCATCCAAGTACCTCCTCACATATGTACAATTAACTAGAACTCTTTATCATTGAACATACTTTTGAAAGATTGTTTTACCAGGTTTGTTAATCAACTTTTGTCACCATGACCAAAATATGAACAAGAACAACTAGAGGTGTATAAGTTTAGTTTGGCTCATGGTGTCAGAGGTTCAGTCCGTGGTATGCCAAGCAATTGTTCTGAGCCCTGGGTAAGACAGAACATCATGGCTGAAGGGTGTGGCAGAGGAAGCTGCTCAGAATAGGGCAGCAGGGAAGGGGTCCCAGGGAAGATGGACCCTTCCAGACCACAGCCCCAGTGACTCACCTTCTCCAAGTACACCTTATCTACCTACAGTTACCACCTAATTCATTCAAACTAGGATGAGCTGATTAGGATATAGCTCTTATAATCTAATTTCACCTCTGAACATTTCCTATGTTAATACAGGAGCTTTTGGGGAATGCCTCATATTCAAGCCATGACACCAGAGAAGCACCAATTTGTATGTTCTTTTTTTTTTTTTTGTACCAGGGATTGAACCCAGGGGCACTTAACTATTCAGGCACATCCCCAGCCCTTTTTTGTATTTTATTTAGAGATAAGGTCTCCCTGAGTTGCTTAGGGCAACTCACTAAGTAGCTGAGGCTGGCTTTGAACTTGGTATCTTCCTGCTTCAGCCTCCTGAGCTGCTGGGATTACAGGTATGTGCCACTTCACCAGCCAATTTGTATGTTCTTAATTCCTGGCGGTTGTGGTAGTGGAGAAGGTGAAGAGTAACATTTAGAATTAGTGAGACCCCTGTTTTTAGCCAGATAGGTATTTCTGTTGCATGACTTTCAAGGGGAAAAAAGAATAGCAACTTGAGAAGGAAAAATATTGTGTATGAAGATGAAAAGTTTAAAGAGCAATTCAACCCCCCCCCCCAACCCCAGGATAAAAGTTACTTTTAAAGTAGTAGAAGCTGGGCATGTTGGTGCATGTCTGTAATCCCAGTGATTTGGGAGCCTGAGGCCAAGAGGATTGTGAGTTCAGGGCCATCCTGGGCAACTTGGCGAGACCCTGTCTCCAAATAAAAAACAAAAAGGTCTGGGGATACAGAGAGCTTGCCTAGCATGCATGAGGCCCTGCGTTCAAAACCCAGTACCTAAGTAAAGAAGACAGAGGGCTGAGAGTTTGTGATTTTAGCCAAAGTGTAGCCACCTTGAATCTGGGTATGAGGGTATCTACTATCCAATTTACATTTCAGTTTCTTCCACATTTTATTTTAGGCTTGCTACAATTAAATATTGCAGTATCTATGGAAATTTTTTGTGGCAAAGCACCCCTGGGTTCAATCCCCAGTACCTAAATAAATAAATAAGATATAGATTTTTTTTTTTTTAAATAGACTTCTAGGGGCTGGGTTGTAGCTCAGTGGTAGAGTGCTCGCCTAGCACGTGCAAGGCCCTGGGTTCAAGTGTCAGCACCACATAAAAATAAATAAGTAAATTAAGAATATTGTATCCAACTAAAAAAAAAAATAGACTTCTAATTGCTACAAAGTAATTGTACATATTTATGAGGTACAGTATGACATTTCAATACATATTTATAATGTGTAATGATCAGATAAGGGTAATTGGCATATCTATTACAAATATAACATTTTTTTTTTGTACCAGGGATTGAATAACATCATTGTTTTATACTAGTGTCCATTAAAAAGTTTCCTTCTGGGGTTGGGGTTGTGGCTCAGTGGTAGAGCGCTTGCCTAGCACATGTGAGGCACTAGGTTCAATCCTTAGTACCACATAAAAATGAACAGATAAAATAAAGGCATTCTGCCCATCTACAACTACAAAATTTTAAAAAAAGTTTCTTTCTATTTTTAAAACAACTTTTAGATTTCCTTAAATTTGTTGTTTTGTTTCCATGTTTATTTTAGTCAGTTTTTGGTTTTCTCAATTTTATCTAAAAGAATAACTGTTAATTTAGAAAATAAATTCATATTCTCCATTTCATTTTCCTTTTAGGCATGAATCCTACAAAACTCAGTATAGAGCAATGTTCGTGATGAATTGTTCTGTCAACAAAGAGGAGGTTCTGAGATATAAAAACTCAGAGAACAGGAAGAAGAGGCGGGGCTATAAGAAGATGAGGTCTAACCATGAAGATTCTGCAGAACAGGCAGAGACAGAAGTGGAAGAAATCTATCACCCAGTCATGTGTACAGAATGTTCCACAGAAGTGGCAGTCTACGACAAGGATGAAGTCTTTCATTTTTTCAATGTTTTAGCAAGCCATTCCTAAACAGCTCAGCTAGCATGCATTACCCAATACTGTTTTTAAGGCAAATATGTACAGTTATTTTCCCTTTGTCTATTCATATCATTAATTGATGTTGAGATATTTGAGGAAGCAGTATTTTATCTTGTGAAGAATGGTTATCAAACTTTATCTCCTCACCTTTTTTTTTTCCTTAAGTTTTCTTACGAATACTGACGGAACTGATTATTCATTCCCTTTTTGATGGACATTTGGAAACTGGGGTTTTTGTTTATTAAGGCTCTTTAGAATTAAAATGTTCTGGAGTTATAACTAATCTTTGTTTCTGAGTATCTTAATCCATTTTTCTCTTTCTATAACAAAATACCTGAGGTCAAATGCTTTATGAACAAAAGAAGTTTATTAAGCTTAGAGTTTTGGAGGCTAAAGGCAGACGGCTGTTCCCATCTTTTTGGCCTCTGTGGGGGCCCCCCTCCCCCGCTGGGTCATATCATGGTCAACGGCGGGATGGTATCATGGCCAAATCATATTTGAGAGGGAAAGATCAGATGGTGATACAGGAAACCAGAGAGGGATTCAGAGGTTAGGCTTACTCTAAGACTAACTGAGGAAGCTAACTGAGGTCCTTGGAGAACTATATTAATCCCTTCCCAGGGCAGTAACCCTAGTGATCTACCTTCCACTAGGCCCCACCTCTTAAAGGTTCTACCACCTATGCACATTGCCAAACTGAAAAACAACATCTGCACAACAATCTACATTCATAACCTTGATATGATTACATTAGAAACTATTTCCCAGACTTCTGTCTGCATCGTTTTTGCTAAGGAATATCATTATTCTTGCCCCCTCCCCACTGTGGAGTGACAGTGTTTAGCAACTGTTACAATTCCATGGAGTTGGTATTGTTCTAACTGTAACGATTGTACATTTTTAAATAAAAATTCATGCTTGAGGAAGAGCAATTTCCCTCTCGGACTTAAAATCCTGTTGTTACCTCTTGTGCCTATCATTTTTTCCTTCTGTTGGCAGTAACCAAAGTATGTTCTTTTAGTATTAATAATATAAAAATCATTAGTGGCAGTTTGAGGGGAAGTTGCATTGTAGGCATATGTGCACTTTACTCTTTTTAAAGAGGGAGTGATTTGGACTGTCCAAAAACATTAGATAGTTTCTAATAGAACAAATGTGATACAAAGGAAAACAGACAGGAAATGTATTTAAACGGGCTCTGTAACATTAATCTTGGGCAAGTCTATTTTTGTGAGAAACAGTTTTCTCATCTCATGTGATTTTTGGGGAGTTGTGGTGAATGCTGGAGATTGAATCCAGATCCTCAAGCATACTAGGCAAGTGCAGTTTTCTCATCTGTGAAATGAGAAAACACTGGGGACTGGGTATACAGTTCAGTGATAGAATGCTTGCCCACTATGCATAAAGCCATGTCAATCCCCAGCACTGAAAAAAAAAAAAAAAAATTGAAAGCTGGGCTAGATCACTGATTCCCCACATGGATCAGAGCTCAACAAGGTTTAAAAGGGATCTCTGCATATTCCACAAGGGAAAATGTCCTCAACTACTTGCTTTCTGGGCTTTCTATAAGCTATATGGAAAGAGTTGGAACCAGTGATTAAATGATGTTTATATGAAGGAGGTGGAGGCAGGAAGATAATAAAGAATGAGTTTTGTGGGTGGGGATGTAGTTCAGTGGTAGAGCATGCTTAGAATGTACAAAGCCCTAGGTTTAATCCCCAGCACCACTCTCTTCACTTTATATACAGTTGGTTTGGTTATGAGATGTCCCTAGAAAAGCTCATGTGTTAGGCAATACAGGAATGTTCAGAGGTGAAATGTTTAGATTAGGAGAGCTATAATCTCATTAGTGAATTAACCCATTTGATGGATTAATAATTAGGGCTACTGGGTGTTAACTGTAGGCAGACAGGGTGTATATGGAGGAAGTAGGTCACTGGGAATGTGCCTTGGGACTATATCTTTTCCCCACCTTCACTCTCTTTGTTTCTTCTTATCAGGTATTTTGGTCACAGTGGACTTACACAAACTAGTTTTTAGGACATTTCCAGTACCTTAATAACATTTGATGACTTATAATATGCTGATATCTGATTAGAAACTCGTGTGTGTGTGTGTGTGTGTGTGTGTGTGTGAGTTTAAGATGTTTCAACTTACTGCCAGGTGATATATTACAGGATAACACAACAGTATGTCTGTTGTAATCTTGTGCTACCATATTGTAGCTATGCAAGACCTACAGTGTCACTGTCAAACCTTGCATTCTTCCCAGATCTCACCACCACCTTCCCACGCACCTCCATTGGGGATTCTTGTGAGAGGTTCTCAGTGGTCTGAAACATAAAAAACCACCTGGAGTAGACATTAGAAAGACAGGTAAGTTATTGTGCCCCTCCTCTGAGAATGTGACTACAATAAGAAGCAGGAAAGCACAAGATATACAGATGTAATTTGTTATAATAACAGAGGAGAGAGCTGTAGAGGAGTAGTGTTTTGTATATTATTTAAACTTAGTTGATATTATTGGTTCAAGCTAGTTTGTTATAAATTTAAGAAGATAATTATAAATTTCCCAAGGCAATCATGAAGATGTTATAAGGAGAAAATTGAAAATGATGCAATAATTGACAATAGTATATTTATTATAAAACTATTCACAATTATTCCTATGTCCCTTTAAACTTTTAAAAAGTTTCTTGAACTATCACCTAAGGAAATTGGTGTCCAACAGTGTTTTGGCTTGATGTACAAAGGGCTGAAAAAGTTTTTGTACCTCAATTTTACAGCATAACTCTGAACATATTTTCTTGTCCTTTTGTGTTCTTAGGATGCTATCTATAAGCAATTATCTCAGATTATTCAACAGTTGTAATGTTTTTCAGCATAAACCACAAAGAGAACTACAAACCTTTGGCCTTACTCTGCCTCAGTCCCTTTTAAAAATGTAGCATAAATTATGTAATACTTATATGAGGTTTAAATAAACACATGGATCTGGAGTTATTGTTTGCTGATCCCACTGAAGCTAATTGTTCTTTTTCATGATCAGCTTGTCTTGCTGTTTAATTTCGTGCTGTGTAACAAATGACCACAGATGTAGAAGCATTGAGCAATGCACATTCTCTTATACTCTTTGAGTCAAGAGTCAGGGCACACTTTAGCACTTTAGCAGTGTCTTCTACTCAGGGTCTCACAGGCTCTAATCTAGTTATTACATTCTTTAATATATATAAAGATAGATAGATATGTGTGTGTGTGAATGTATTTTTTTAAGTTGTTGATAGATTTTTATTTTATTTATTTACATGCAGTGCTGAGAATTGAACCCAGTGCCTCACACATGCCAGGCAAGTGTGCTACTGCTGAGCCCCAGCTCCAGCCCCGCAGTTGTTACATTCTTTTTTTTTTTTTAATACATTTATTTTATTTACTTATTTTTATGTGGTGCTGAGGATCGAACCCAGGGCTTGGTGAGCTAGGCAAGCACTCTACCGCTGAGCCACAACCCCAGCCCATTGTTGTTACATTCTTACCTGGAGATTCAATTGGAGAAGAATCTGCTTCCACCATCTTCAAGTTGTTGGCAGAATGCCCATCCTTATGGTTACAGGACTAAAGTTACTATTTGCTTGTTGGTTGTCACCCAGGATCTGCTCTTAACTCTTAGGTGCTTCCCCTCTAACTGTGGAATATGCACAGTTACAGTTTGGATTTGAGGTGTCCCTCAAAAGCTCCTGTGTTAATTCAGGAATATTCAGAGGTGAAATGATTATTAGATAGATTATTAAAACTGTAACCTGATCAATTCATCCTAGTTTGAATGTAATGGGTGGTGCCTGTAGGCAAAGTGGGGTGCAACTAGAGAAGGTAGGTCACTGGGAGTATACCCTGGAAAGGTTTGTCTTCCTTGTGCCCCTTCCCCACCCTTTTTGCTTCCTATTTGTCATGAGGGGAGAAGCTTTCTTATACAATGCCCTTCTATCATTATGTTCTGCCTCATGTTAGGCCTAGAGCAATGTATTTGGCACACCATGGAATGAACCTCTGAGATCGTGAGATAGGATGAACTGTTTTCTTCTTTTAAATTGTTGTCAGGTATGTTGTTTGCAGCAAAGAAAAACTAACAGACATTATTAATGTCTCTCACTAAATCTGTCACTTAAGCTTCAGTGAGTCCAAAATGAATTTGTGCTTATATGGTATGTGTTTCCATGTATATAAAACATAGACTTATATTCTTTTCTCTATTCCTCTTCCTCTGAACCCCTTGAAACTTTACCCCCATTACTCTGTGATTCTTCCTTGCTAGAGCCATTGCCCCCACTCTCTCAATCACCCTCAGTGATTTGGAGTAGAAGGAGACAGGTAGTTATAGAATGGAAATCGGAAAAAAGAGACCTTATTCTGTGTCATGAAATATTAGGATATTCTTGATAGCTTTCCATAGCTGTGACAAAATATCTGAGCAAAAAAAAGGCTGAAAGATTTATTTTGGTTCACAGTTTCAGTCCATAATCAGTTGGCTACATTGTCTCTGGACATGTGGTGAGGCAGACCATCATGGTGGACGGGTGTGACAGAACAAAGCTGCTCACCTCATGGCAGCTAGGAAGTAGAAAGAGAGGCCAAAAGTCCCTGAACATTGCTGTATTATAGACCAAGCCTCCAACACATGAGCCTTTGGGGGACACTCCAGATCTAAACTACACACACCCATATCCAATTTTGAATATTGTCAATATTGACATTTGACTATGATTGACTTATTTGATTTTTATGATTTCTTAGCAATCAGGCAGACACTGGAAAAACTGAAAAATGCAAAAAAAAAAAAAAAAAAAAAAACTAATTGTTTTCAAATATAATGAAATTTATTTATGTTTTAAATTTAAATATTAAGGAAGTTACCCCATATATGCACATGTATATTATATAATTTGTATCAATTAAAATATTAAAAATTTCAGGGCTGGGGTTGTGGCTCATGGATACAATGCTCGCCTAGCACGTGCGAGATGCTGAGTTGGATCATCAGCACCACATAAAAATAAATAAAGCTATTGTGTCTAACTACAACTAAAAAATTTTTTTTATTTATGAAGCATAAAAATATATAAAAATTCAAAAATTTATGAAGCATAAAAATATATAAAAATTCAAACATTTTAATTTTTTTTAAAATCCGTTTTTAAAAATTAATTTATTCCATCACCCTGTAGGAGGAGTCACATCAGAAAGACAGGAGAGTTACGAGCAGCCAGCGGCTCACAGGTTATTGGGAAC